AAAAAAAAAAAAAAAAAAAAAAAAAAAAAAAGAATTGATCACTTGTGATCATAGTAATCAGGTATTTTTTCCATCCTTTAATCCTGAGGGATTTGCCAGTTTGAGGGGAGGTGAAGTGATATGATAGTAACAGGCTCCTTCAGACCGTCTTTTATTAATTTCAAGTACTGTCCACACCACGTAAATTGTGCTTCAGGGTCCTCACTTATAGGTTCTAATCTCCCAAAAAAAACCCCAGTATTTTAACCATGGAAACTGCTAACTACAAGCTTCTTCTTCCTTCTCTATCTTCTAGCTCATGAACTTATCCATCCTACCGCCACCCCATCTAAATCCTACCCATGTTCAAAAGTCCAGTTCAAAATTGCACTACCTCTCAGGGGAGAGCCTCACAATAAATTTTAAAATCACCCCTAGCATTCAAGACATGGCTTTTATTAATCAAATGAAAGTAAACGATACAACTTCCATTTAGTACCCAAAAGAAACAGCAAAACAAAAATATAAAACACTTACCTTTGGTGGAGAACATTGTATAACCAGATCAACCTCAGGGATGTCTAATCCACGTGCAGCAACATTGGTTGCAACCATAACTCCAAAATCACCATTTCTAAAACCTTTCAGGGTGATTTCCCTTTGCTTCTGTGGGATGTCTCCGTGTAATGACTGGGCATCCTGCCAAAGAAATAAGCTAGCATAAGAATCCAGATCCAACAATATGGGTACTTTTTACATCACCAATGAGGTCTGTCAAAGAGATTCATATTTTGGTGCTACTTCTACTGAAAATAATACAAAGTGGAAAGAAAACATGTGCCTTACATGGACAAGCTTCAAAACTATTTCTAATCTTTGGTCATTAAATCAAATTCACCCACCTATATTTAAAAGGTACAGAACACCAGATAAGAGTGATCAAATCTATTAGCTGGTGTAACTTTGGGTTTAAGCCACTTTTTCCTCATCTCTGAGATGAGACTGACAGGTTAGGTGAGCTCTAACATGTATACTCTATTAATTAAAAGATGATTTGTCTGCCCAGTCGGTATGGCTCAGTGGTTGAGCATCAACCTATGAACCAGGAGGTCATGGTTAGATTCCTGGTCAGGGCCTATGCCCAGGTTTTGGCCTCAATCCCCAGTACGGGTTGTGCAGGAGGCAGCCAATCAATGATTCTCTCTCATCACTGATGTTTCTATCTCTCTCTCCCTTTCCCTTCCTCTCTGAAATCAATCCTATGTAATAAAGAGCTAATATGCTAACTAGACTGAACAGCCAAACGACCGTCTGGATGACATTCTGGATAACTGTCCGGATGACCTTCCAGATGAAGCCGGGGCTGTGAGGACCAGCCAAGGCAGCCAGAACTGCAAGGGCCGAGCCCCTTGCACGAATTTTGTACATCGGGCCTCTAGTAAAAATATGAAAAATAAAAGATGCTTCCTCCCTAAAGGAAAGGGAGAGGAAGGACTAACCTGCTTCATGGACGTATTCTGAGACAACTCCTGGGCTTCTTTCTTGGTTTCACAGAAGATGATAGTGCGCCCGTGAAATCCACTGTACACTCGGATCACATCCCCAATAACTGCTGCTCTTTGAGTCCAGTGGCACTTGATAGCCAGATGCTTAAAAGAGAGGGGAAAAAGGTCAATTTCATAAACATACCTGGAACCTGAAATCACCTGTTCACCACTAAGGTGCTAGAAGCAGTACTTAAGCCTGCCTAGAGCAGACTATACCACTGTTTAGAGAAAAAACTAAACCATGAAAGCAGAGGGCTCCTTCCATTTCTCCAAAGAGCATCTGACTTCTTTACTTTCTGACGTAAACCATGAAAATGCAGGAAAAGAAATACCATTTAGATTCCTACAGGAAACCAAATAACAAGAAAAACGTTTCTATGTTTTGTTCTTTCATCCACTTAAAAATGCAATCAGTAGTCAGTTACATTCTACTCCTTGGGTGAAATGAATTCAGGTAGGTACCTGACTCTAAGATGAAAACAGCTTCAACACAAAGCACTAGATCTCTCCTCTGCCCTCTAGTGTTTAAAGCCTAGGGGTAATTTCTGTTTAGATCATTCAGACAGATTTAGGTTCCAAAAAAATTATGAAATCAAACTACCAGAAAATGAACTTAGAAAACACAGATACCATATATGTCTTTACTTGGCTTTTCACATGGATTTGTGTTTATCTAGAAAAAGACTTTGTATTTGCCAATCTTAAAACTATCAAAATCAGACAGGAAAAAATGATATACAATTTATTACTAATTCCAGCAACTAAATGAATCATTTACCTCCACAGTTATTGCTGCTTTCTGAGTCCTTTTACCAATCAGGTCCACCTGTTCATATGTAGGCTTCATGTATTTCTTAGCAACATTATATACCCAATGAGGGCAAGTTGCAGAAAAAAGCAGTGTCTGGGGATTGTCTTCTGAATCTTTGGGGGTAAAAAAGTTAGTATGAATAACCCAAACAAGCCTACATAGTATTCCACCTAACCCAATTCTTCTAGGCTCCATCAACACTCTACAGCAACCACTAGGCCAAGCCAGGCATTAAGACACAGGTTACCAACAGGCAAATAAATACTGCCTAAATAATTTATGTAAAGCATCCTTAAAATAGCCCTAGCTGGTTTGGCTCAGTGGACAGAGTGTCGGCCTGTGGACTGAAGGGTCCCAGGTTTGATTCCGGTCAAGGGCACATGCCCAGGTTGCGGGCTCAATCCCCAGTAGGGGGTGTGCAGGAGACAGCCAATCAATGATTCTCTCTCATCATTTATGTTTCTATCTCTCTCTCCCTCTCCCTTCCTCTCTGAAATCAGTAAAAATATATTTTTTTAAAAAGAATCCTTGAAATAGCAAAAGCACTTGAAACTTATTTTCTTTCTGACCATTGGCCTTTGTGAACCACAAGGAAAATCTGTCCATTATAACAAATCCTACCAAGTGAAAAACACCCTGGGGTGGGATGTGGGGGCGAATTCAACAATAAAGATTAAAAAAAAAAACACAAGACACCAATTCATTGCACTTTCATATATTTCAAATGGCAGTGTAAGCTCATAGAACCCTTTTGAGAGCAACTTGATGATAACTATTGAGGAGCATGAACATTCATGTATCATTCAACTCAGTAATTTCACTTCTGGAAATCTATCCTAAAAAACTAATTCCAAACACTGTGGTGTGAAAGGAAGCTATCTGCACAAAAAAAATGTTTGTAAGCAGAATTTATATTATCTAAAAATTAAAACACATAGATGGAATTAAATCATGGCACAACCACTTCACGGACTACTATGCCTAATTTGTATATGCACAGTAGGGTTACATTAATGCACACACACTTATATACAATAGCACAAAGTCAGGAAGAAATGTACCAAAAGTCAAGTACACCGAACTGGTAGATAGGAAATTCTCCTTACTTTCTCAAATTTCCCCCATTTCTGATAAATCGTGAATTATTTTTAATTCAAGTTTTCCTGAATAAAGTAAGTCACTTCCCAATTTCCTAAAGCTTCATTTAACTCTTAGAAAACTACTTAATCACCACCCTTCTTATCCTTTATCAATTCCTTGGAGTTTACCTTTCTTGTATGCCACACTTAAAATCTCTTCCACTTGGTCAGCAAACCCCATATCCAGCATCTGGTCCACTTCATCCAGGACAACATGCTTAAGCTTGGTGAGCTCTAGCTTGCCATTCTGCAGGTGGTCTTTGATTCGACCTGGCGTCCCAACCAGGATGTCAATCCCATTCCGCATACGTTCAACTATAGAGAACATAACGATAAGATATGCTTGGTTTTTAAGTCCTTTTATTAGGCTAGGGTACCAATCACAAATATTTTTACTCTAAAATTTTTACCAACTACAAGGTAACATGCTAAGGATTGAAGATAAAGATACCAAGACATGCCCTAGCCAGTTTTCTCAGTGGTTAGAGCGCCGGCCCTTAGACTGAAGGGTGGTGGGTTCCATTCACAGTCAGGGTACATGCCCGGGTTGCGGGCACAGCCTGGTTGGGGTTGCATATGGGAAGCAATCAATCAGTGTTTCTCTCTCACATTGATTTTCCTCCCTCTTTCTCCCTTTCCCTTCCTCTCTCTCTAAAAAAAAAAAAAAAATCAATAAAAACCTATTATAAAAAAAGGGGAAGGGGGAGTAACCTTCAATTCCGAGTTTCTAGTTCCAAGGGCCCAACTGGACTCTGTCCTTGGGGTTCAGTAAGATACCTTTACAGCCTTTAGATAAACATAGAGAGTACAAAAGTCCTAAGGAGGATACACAGGATTTGACACATCATTAGGCAGGACCGTGTTACTGACCAACTTTAAACAATAATGACAAAGAAAACCACCAGATGATTAGACCAGGTAAAGCCGGATGTCAAGGCTGGATCTAACCGGGGCATCCAACAGTGAATGGCATTTTCCTTTCCTCACTTTTGAATTTACTTACTTTGACCTCCATAGGGAGTTCCACCATAAAAACAAGCCACTGACAACTTTTTTGTGATGTCACTGAAGTCTCTGCTTACTTGATTTGCCAATTCCCTTGTGGGTGTAAGAACCAGTACCTGAAAAGAAAAAACTAAATTTAATTTGTAACAAGTATTTTCAAAACATGTGCTTTGTAATGTGCTGTGTGTGTGGAAGGATAATATAGTTTCCAACAAGCCTACTCAGAAGAAACAACTGTGATCTCCCCAATCAGAAGAAAAGTAGTTGCCCAAAGGTATGGTGCTCCAGGAGGGCTGCACGGAGCAGGCTGAGCAACTGGGGCTATGTTCATGGAGCTGCTGGTACTTAAAGAACAGCATGCCAAGAAAGGAACAACACCGCTAATAACATTAGCTAATATCTGTGCTTTTACTGTGCCTCAGGCTCTACTAAATGCTTAATATGCAATATTCTCATTCAATTCTCACAAGGTATTCACCTATAATATTTACGATACACAAGAGATTTCTAAAACCAAAGGCTAAGAAGAAGCTGAGTCTGGATTTAAGAGTCAGGCTCCAGCCCTAGTTGGTTTAGTTCAGTGGATAGAGCGTCGGCCTGAGGACCAAAGGGTCCCAGGTTTGATTCTGGTCAAGGGCATGTACCGTGGTTGCAGGCTCCTCCCCGGCCTGGGCCCTTGTCAGGGCTCGTGCAGGAGGCAACCAATCGATGTGCTTCTCTCACATCAATGTTTCTCTTTCCCCTCTATCTTCCACTCTCCCTAAAACAGCGGTTCTCAACCTGTGGATCGCAACCCCTTTGGCAGTCGAACGATCCTTTCACAGGGGTCGCCTAAGACCACTCTGCATATCAGATATTTACATTATGATTCATAACAGTAGCAACATTACAGTTATGAAGTAGCAACGAAAATAATTTTATGGTTGGGTCACAACATGAGGAACTGTATTTAAAGGGCCGAATCAATGAATAAATATCCTCGGGCAAGTATTAACAAAAAAATAAAAAATAAATAAAAGAGCCTGGCTCCAAAACCTGTGACCTGAACCTAAGGCAGGACCAACATGATGAGGGACTTTGAACCCTGGAGCAGTCTTTGATCCAGCAGGACACACAACATGAAACCACGACAGATCCTCCAGTAAGGTAACAACCTGACACAAATAGGATTTAAGAGCAACAACCCAATACATTCATCCAACAGATATTACTGAATATCCACTATGTGCCAGACGGTATTCTAGGTGCCAGAATAATTCATTTACTTCTGTATTTGTTAACAGCAGTAAACAAATAAATTAATGAGACGGAACCATGGTCACAAAGGCCAGTAAACAAGTGAGGTGGGGCCAGAAATTCAGGGACAAGAACCTCCAGCCAATGTGACAACACAGGCATTTTAGTGAAGTAGGGAGGTTGGCCTCTTCACCTCTCTGCGTGTCTCTCCTTCCACTCATGCATCGCTACTAAAAACGGGTTTCTCGCCCTGGCCAGGTAGGTCAGTTGCTTAGAGCATCATCCTGATATGCCCAGGTTGTGGGTTCAATCCCAGTCAGGGCACATATAAGAATCAAACAATGAATGCATAAATAAGTGGAACAACAAATCGATGTTTCTGTCTATATATACATAGCTCTCCCTAAAATCAATCAATAAATAAAAATGCCTGTGTCTTTAAAAATAAATAAATAAATAAATGCTTTCTCCACTTCAAGTAAAAATGATAGACACTTGACCAAACCCGTGAGCCCTAGGGACAATCTGATAGTTTGAAAGAAACATTGTGAACATTAATAAATAATACAGGTGGTCACAACCATGGGATGGATTACAATATTTAAATATATAGGATTTGTGGCCAACACTATAAAAAAATTTTTTAATTGATTTGAGAGAGAGGAAGGGAGAAAAGGGAGGAGCGAGAGAGGGTGAGTTGGGGAAGGAGACAGAGAAGGGCGGGGGGCGGGGGGGTTGCTTCACTTATATATGCCTTCATTGGTTGCTTCTTGAATGTGACCTGACCAGAGAGTTAACCTGCAACCTTGGCGTATTGGGATGATGCTCCAATCAACTGAGCTGCCTGCCCAGGGCTGTGGCCAACACTTTAAAAGAATTATCCAGGTTTACCTGCAGACAGATATACAGTAAATACCCAAAAAAGGCTTTAAGGAGAACCCTATACAAAACAGTAGGGTTGTAAACAATGCCCAAGAGATGTTTGCTGTGCGAATTTGGAGCCCCTGGTGGGGTCTGAGTTACCTGAGGGGCACGGCCTCTCTTCCGGTCATGCAGTTCCGCCAGCAGCTTCTCAATCAAAGGGATGGCAAAGGAGAAAGTCTTCCCAGTTCCTGTCCGCGCCTGTGCAATTAAGTCTTTTCCACTATACACATGGTGAAATGTCTTCGCTTGTATAGGAAACAGGAAGGTCACCCCACGGGCTGTAAGCAGATTAAACGTGTTATCTGACATTGCAGTTCTTCAAGTATCAGCCATACGGGAGGAGGAATTCTACCTTCTCAACATCTACAAATTCAGGTTCAGATATATTCTAGTGGTGAAGAAGCTATTTGACTGAAAAATATCAATATACTTTAAAGCACCGAATTACAGTAAATATTTATTATTTTAAGAGTTTAAGTTGCTTGTCATGAAATGTCATCCACAGGTCAGTATAAGGTGAGAATCAGATGCTTTGCAGTCCAAGTCCAGACTGTGCAACACCTGGTTCAGAAAACACCCAGCTGAGCATCTGTGACCACCTGGCTCATTCACAGGCACACCGCTAAGATGAATTCTAAGCCAGGCTGGCATCATTAACCTAGAGATACCTCAAGAAGTGGAAGAGGATAAAAAAATGAAAATATTAACATGGTATCACTGTTTAATTGCAGCGGCATTATCAGTCATTACACTTCTGAATAAATGTTAACCACCTGTTTAAGAGTCAACAAAGGCCATCCCTAGTGTAGTCCTACGTTGTATATATAGATCTTCATTATATGGCTGCACATAAGAACACATCCTAGTTCCTCTCAACAAATACGGTGGAGTGCTTCCAAATAATATGTTCTAATTTATACAATATTCTAAGAATATTACCTTTGAGAAGTTTAATAGTTTCTTCAGATATGGGGAAATTAGAGAAAGCGCCTTCTTTTTGTTCCACAGGTATTTCCTATCAAGTAAAGGGCCACAGAAAGAAATCAGTAACTTTACCCCTGCAGGTTAATACAGAGAAGCCTTCTGAGAAAGAAACTAAAGAACCTATTCTAACATACCTTTCTCAATCAACCCAAAAGACACAAAAACCTTATGAGTAAATGAAGGTCTAAAAAGGAAATAATCACCCTAACCGGTTTGGCTCAGTGGACAGAGCGTCAGCCTACGGACTGAAGGGTCCCAGGTTCGATTCTGGTCAAGGGCATGTACCTTGGTTGAGGGCACATCCCCAGTAGGGGGTGTGCAGGAGGCAGCTGATCAATGTTTCTGACTCTCTATCTCTCTCCCTTTCTCTCTGCAAAAAATCAATAAAAATATATTTAAAAAATAAAAAGTAAAAAAAATAAAAAGGAAATAATCTGTAAAACCCTAGGTGAAAAATCTGTTGCAAATATATACCATACATATACTATGTATGGCTAGTGAAGGCAGGATCAGTCTCAACTAAGAACTATTCCATAGCCATTCCAAACAACTATGTGGTTGCACAGGTCTTAGCCCTTTTCCACAGCAACATCTCTCATACATCCACAGAAAATAAGGACCAAACAGTGGCATTGATAGTAAAAATATGAATGCCCAACAAATTGGGCAAATAAAATGCCCAATAATTATGTGAATTTACAAAAATTTAAGTAATGGATTATGTAACCATTAAGAATATTTAATATTTTTACTTAATAAATAATTAAAATAAATTAAATATTTAACAAGTGGGGGAAATGCTTATATAAAAGTAGAAAAGTCTGGATACAATACTGCATACAGTACAATCCTAATCTGATTAAAAAAAAGATAATTCCATATATAAAGTACAGCAAGGAAATACCAAAATCAACAGGTTACTTCTGTACCTGAAAAGTGCTTAATATTCACTGAATTACTGAATGCAGAAATTCTAAGGAAACTTTTAAAAATAAATTTCTATATTTCCTAAATTCTCTAGATCACATATTATTTTTAATAATCAAAAAAAAATTCTTAAATGTTGATCATGACCTACAAACACAAAATTGTTTATTAAATTAGGACTTTCCTGAGATTCTGAAAGCTGTCAGAATTAGCTTCCAAGCAGATTTATTTAATCATCCTGTCCAACTCAAGTTAGTTAACAGCCTAAACAGAGACTTACAATCCTACTTAATCTTGGCTTAGTGAAACCCCTAAGAGAAGGAGGGCCTATTCACATGACTACATCCCTCCTGTTGATTTCTGACTTACAAATAAGCTGCTGGCATCTGGAGAGATTTTCCCCAAACTTAAACAGATCTGCTTACTTGCAAGGAGGCATTCTGACTCTAGGCTCAACAGACCCCATGAAGCGCTAACATATCAAATTTCCTCCCATTGTTAAGTATGTAGTGATTACCTACTTATTTATCTGAAATCATACATATCTCAACCTCACCTGCTCCAACTCACTGTTACTTTCTTCACTGGCAGCTTCACTGGAGTTAGAGTCAAGTCCAGAATGAGAGAATCCATTCTTTAGTTTGGGGCTTTTCTCCCCAATTTCTCCATTCATTTCCTTTTCTTTCTTTATCTTCTTGGGTTTAGGAGCATCCACTTCTTCTTCAGAAGGCTCCTCACTTTTTTTTACTTTTTTGGTTTTAGAGGAAACTTTCTTTTCCACGGACTCCTTTGTTTTTTTTACACTTTTGATTTTAGGAGAAATCACATCATCTTGAGATGGCTCCTCGTTCTTTTTTGCCTTTTTGGATTTAACTTCATCTTGAGATGGCTCCTCGTTCTTTTTTGCCTTTTTGGGTTTAACTTCATCTTGAGATGGCTCCTCGTTCTTTTTTGCCTTTTTGGATTTAGGAGAATTCATGTCGACCTCAGAAGGCTCTGCTTTCTTTTTAACTTTTCTAGCTTTGGGGGAAATGGCTTCTTCCTTTTCTTCTGCTGCCTCTTCAGTCTTATTAGATTTTGGCTTCTCTTTTTTATTTTTCTAAAAAAAAAATCAATAAAGAAAATGCAAACACGGCACAAAGCATCTGATACATCAATTCAGGATTACTTCTAGATTATACAATTATGAAGAACACAATTTGAGGGCATTTCTCAACATTTGTACTTCCACCTTGCAGTAAGGCAAAAATCAAACTATGCTTCCTAGTACTATTAGCTATATGAAGATAAGTCTATAGCAATAACATCATTAGCTTGGAAGAGAATGCCTCTTAGTAACTACTCAATTCATGTTAGTCCAAAAGTTGTAAAATCAAATTTTCACGAAGTATTTCGGGTGGCTCATGGGATGCTCCCACGGGCTCTAAACTAAATACACTATAGCAAGTGACCAAGTAAAGCAGTTTAATTCTGGTAAAAGTAATAAGGCCATATATGTGCATGGATGGAATATAGAGTCTTCTTTCCTAGAATGCATGTACAGGTAAAACAAGGATTCTTAACATCTGCCTTGCCTACCTCACAAGTGCAAATGAATTTACAGACACTGCACGAACCAAAAAGCTGTAAAAACTCACAATCTATCACCCCATGTGTAAAAAAAGATGAACCTAATTTAAAGATGTGGGGGTGAAGCACAAGTTACAAGGGGCTGGAATGAGTGAAGCCTCAAAACCAAATCAGACTATGGCTCCTACCTGAAACGTCTGACCCTCTCCAACGCTTCCCATTACTGAAACCTTCATTACCCAATATTACTGGCTGCTGTTGGAGCCTGTTAAAACCTCTCTGACACAGCCCCAGCAATCCCAGAAGTACAGAGCTGAAATCTGCCTCCCTAGAACTTCAGGTGTGGCCTGGGCTCTCAAATCTTGGATGAGGGTAATCCCTCCAACATGACCGTCCCTCAGACATCAGGAAAACAGCCTGTTCCCCGCCCCCTCTCCACGACTGCAGAACTTTCATCTTTTGGTTCTACCAAATCAGAGTGGATTTCCCATCCCCGTGGTCTCCTTCGGAATATAACGGAATTCGGTCGTGTTCCTCCTAATCTGAGATCCCACAACTGAACACGGTCACGGAGGCAGGGAAAGTACAGCAGTGAGTGTCCTCCCCACCTGGGAAGGCACGGCTGTGCCCCCTCAGCTTCCTACAAGGCCAGAATACTGCTGTTGTAAAAGCGCCTCATCCGGAAACAGCAAGAAAAGACCTAAGTCGTATACAAGTTCTGATCCCACTGACCTCATCTCAGAACAGACCCGGTCACAATTCAATCACTATCTAAATACCATCAAGGAGGCAGGCCGCTGTCAAGGGAACAGGAGAACTGCACTCTGCCGGCCACTCTCAAAAATACGGTGCACAGTGAGCACCACAACAGGGCTTTGCATTCCAGCGGGCGATCTGGTCGCTAACATTAAGAGGAACTGATGTGCAGGACTACAGTTCCGAAGGGCTGCTTACCGGAAACGATGCCTCCCCGAGTTACTAGGGCCTAGGATGAAAGCGTCTCCGCTGACGCCGCCCACGTGTGCAGGTGGGTGAAATTCTCGCTCTAAAGCCTCCGTCCCCACCTTGACTTGACTTACAGTTCCCTCCGCGCACGCACCGGCCGGGAGTCAGGTCTGAGCTTGAGCCAAAACCTGGGGGCCTAACCGCCCAACTCAGTGCCCCGGGTGCGGGGCACCCAGGTTCCGGGACCACGTGGGACACCTGGGACACCTGGCCCTCCCCGCAGTCCCGACCTGTCCCGGCCTCGGCCAGGACTCCCGCCGGGCGCCC